TTTTCTCTCAGCATTGCTAGTGCTTGGGGACGGACCACTGACTCATGCCTAAATATTAAGAGTCAAGTCCTAAAAATTTGCAGGTAAAATGACATGTTTGCAAAATCACTGATTTCTGTATTTCTGGAAGCAAATTAGCAGTTATTGGCAACTGCATTAAATTGGTAAACAAAGGTTTTTGAATGACATCAGTTGTTGAAATCAGGGGAGGTGAATGTCGTGATCTGGATTCCATGTTATTTTAATTCTTTGCCTTAATGGCTGTTGCAGGTTTTTCGGGCTGTTCTTGAGGTTTTTCTTCCTAACGTTTCGCCAGTTTCTGTGGCAAATGGCTATTCCAAGAATGAAATCGCAAGAGCCATCAAACCAAGAAAACAACACCAAACTGAAGAGGAAAAACAGCCACTGTATTTCTGCCATACATCAAAGGGGTCACAGACCACATGGGGAAACTTTTTTTAAAACACAATTCACAAACAGTATTCAGGCCCACCACAAAAATACAACAAATGTTACGGTCAGCGAAGGACAAAAGGGACCCCCTCACCACTGCAGGAGTATACTGGCTACCTTGCAGTTGTGGCCAGATATATATTGGAACCACAACATGCAGCATCCACACCAAAATCAAAGAACATGAGAGACACTGCCGACTAAAACAACGGGAAAAAACGGCAGTAGCTGAACATGCCCTGAAACAAGCTGGACATGAAAGTCCATTTCAAAAGAAAGACATACTGGACAACACCAGCAATCATTATGTTAGACTGCACAGGGAAGCCATTGAAATCCACAAACACCAGCAGAGCTTCAACAAAAAAGAAGAAAGTCTAAAACTCGACAAAGCCTGGCTCCCAGCACTGAAAAACACAGCCTGCAAAAGGTCAACAAACTCTACCCAGCCACAAGGACCAATGATCACTGCACACAAAAGACCAGCTAACGACACCCATCAATCACAGTGACAGATCAGCTTTCCCCCTTATCACAACAATATACCCACAAAGCTGATCCCACAGCTATAAATATTCAACTATCCCACAAACTGCCCCAGAGTACAGACAGAGTTCTGATTCCTGTCCTCTGAAGATGCCGGCCACAGAGACTGGCAAAACGTTAGGAAGAAAAAAACTCAAGAAAATGGCCAGACAACCTGAAGAACTTACAACAACCAATGGATCCTGGCTGTGAAAGCCTTTGAGAATACTTTGCCTTAGTGTTTGAACCTTACAATTTTGGAACTTTCTGAACTTTTGAGAGTGCTTCTTGATGAAACTCCAATATCTGTAAGCTATGTTTTTCTTTGTTGCCTAACTAGAAGTGTAATATCTGGCTTATTAAAATCAACTGTTTTATTCCTGATGACTTGCTGGTCCCAGTATAGTAAAGAATGAATAATAATGTTCTCCCTACTTATCCACTACTAGCTAGTGCTCAAGGAAGTTTACAATCATAAAGTATAATAGAAGCAACAGTAAAATATAATTAATTAAAATAAAATAAAACAAACTTGATCATAAAAACAAAAATCAATAAGTCTTTAAACAGCTATAATCATTATAATAAATTAAACACTATCATAAACTTTTAAAGTTATGGCGGGTAGGTATAACATGGTCCTTTCCAGGCTGAGAATAGTTTCAACTGAATTTGGCTACCGAAAATTTGGGGAAGAATTTTATTTTCGTTGGGTTGTGGTTTTTTTTAACAGTTTAACAAAATCTGCAAATTCATATTTGGGTTAGTAGGAACTTTATATTAAGGAACTCAGATTTTTTAAATGTGGAGCATATGTCATCATGTGTAATAATAATCTTTTTTCCCATTGACACATAATAAGTAACTCAATTAAGATTATAAATTAATAGATCATATTTATAACATAATTTTATCTTTACATGTATAGAGGTACAAGACATTTTTCCCATGATGAACACATAAAATTTGCTAGATTTTAGTCCCTGTTGTATTTCTTTTTATGTTTCAAAATCAGAAATACTGATGTGGTTTCTGTATTCCGGTGTTAATGAAGCAGCAATAATCTGAATTCTGAGGTAATAAGGGAACTGGGAACCAATTCTTATGAGGAAAAAGTGAAAGAACTGGGCATACTTAGCATGGGAAAAGAAAACTGAGAGATATGACAGTACTCTTCAAAGATATTTTTAAGGAGCTAATTGCTATTGACTAGTGATATCAATCTTCAGGCATCTGAAGGGCAGAATACAATCCAAAATGAAATCCAAAACACTGTTGATCACTGATTTCTGGATTGCTAAAACAACTTCACATCTACAATAGCAAACAGTTTAAATCAGATAAAATTAACCAAAAGCTAGTATGGGTGTAGGATAAATAATGGCCTCATTAATTTCAAAGAGCATCTATCTACCTACCTACCTACCTACCTACCTACCTACCTACCTACCTACCTACCTACCTACCTACCTACCTACCTACCTACCTACCTACCTACCTACCTACCTACCTACCTACCTACCTACCTACCTACCTACCTACCTACCTACCTACCTACCTACCTACCTACCTACCTACCTACCTACCCATCCATCCATCCATCCATCCATCCATCCATCCATCCATCCATCCATCCATCCATCCATCCATCCATCCATCCATCCATTCATTTATAAACTGTCTTTCTCTCCACAAGAGGACTCAAGGCAGTTCATAAAGTTAAAACAATTAAAACTAAAGCACAATAAATAACATATTTTAAAAAAACCCAAATTAAACTATCATAATAATCAAATATGTGAACTGATGAAAAGCATGAACTTTAAAAGCAAACTAAGAAGCTGAAAAGCTAAAACCAGTATCCAGGGATTCGCTTTAAAATTTACATGTTAAAAATAAAGTTAAACATTAAAAACCAGCCTGAAAAAGATGAGTGTTTAGCTGTCTACAGAAGGATAAAAGGGAAGAGGCCAACCTAATCTCCCATGGGAAAGCATTCCACAATCCAGAAGCTTCCACAGAGAAGGCCCTCCCCTATATCCACATCATGCATAACTGTGATGACAATGAGACCAAGAGGAGGGTCTCCTTTGAGGATCTTAAGAACCGAGAAGGCTCCTATGGGGAGTATGGGCCTTCAGATAGCCTGGACCTTAGCCATATAGGGCTTCATATGTAATCATCAGCTCTATGAACTGGGCCTGGAAATGGACTGATAGTCAGTGCAGTTGTGGTAGCAGGGGCATTATTAGTTCCTTACAACTGGCCCCAGCCAGCTGAAGTTTGCAAACCATCTTCAAACCATAGATCATGTTACAATACTCCTAACAGGATGTAACGAAGGCATGTGTCACTGTAGCCAAATCAGATATCTCAAGGAATGGGTGCAACTGGCACACCAGTTTTAACTGTGCAAATGCACTCCTGGCCATCGCCAAAACTTGTGTATTCAGGTCACGGATGATCCAGGGGGACATCCAAGCTGTGGACCTGAATTAATGAGCCCATCCAGCACAGGTTGCATCCCTATTCCCTCATCTGATTGACCAGGAGCACCTCTTTCTTGTCCGGATTAAGTTCATTTTGTTTACTTTCATTCAGCCTATTACTGATATAGGCACCAGTTTAAAACCGAGACAATAATGCTGGGAAAGGTGGAAGGCAGCAGGAAAAGAGGAAGAACAAATACAAGATGGACTGACTTCCTAAAAGAACCCCCGAGCTTGAGTCAACCCCTGCAAGAGCCAAGCAGGGCTGCTTAGAATAGGAAGGACCTTTTGGAGAGCACTCATTCACAGGGTCACCATGAGTCGGAGGTGACTTGATGGCACATAATAAGAAAAATAAGACAATGCCATGGAACAAATTACATCTTGTCTCAGAATTCTGTACTTTTCTCAGAATGACAATTTACAGTAAAAATATACCTGCTGTGTGCTGTCAAGCTGCCTCCACCTTATTGCAAAATGCATGCATTAAGAAAAAGGTGTACCAGAATATGCACAAGTTTTTACGTTGTTACAGTATGTGCTATTAAGTCACACCCAGCGTACAGCAAACAGAACAGGGTTTTGAATGGATGTGAGCTATTCAAGGAATGGTTTTGCCATTGCCCCTTCTCAGTGAGTTTCCATGGTTTGAGTAGAGATTTGAATCTAGATCTCTTGAGGCCTAGTTCATCATTCTATCCACTACTATATCACAGTCTTGCAAACCAGGATAGAACAGAGATAGGACAAAAATGCCACAAATTATGGTAGTTGGACAAGCAAAAATATTGGTTAGTTGGTTGGTTGCCATCCTAATAACATTGTGTTCATGTTTTGCATAGTGCAAGATCAGTCACTACTAGCAAGAGAACAAAACAACTGCCTCGTATACTATACTTATAATCAGCAAACATATACAAATCCATGGTTAGCATTCCAGTTTCTACGGTTCTAAACTTCAAATATATGTGCAGTCTCTTTTGTTATAAAAATGCAAAGTAGATGAAATGCCCACTTCATTAAGTCTCTTTTTTAAATGTTCTAATCTAAAATGAAAAGCAAGACACACCAAGGGAGACTGGGACTTCCAGAGATGGTTTCTGTGAGGTTTCTTACCCCAGCTACTTAGAATTTGCCCAGAAAATGGCAGCATTTTGAGCGGCTCATGTTGTACTAGTCACCAAAAATGGCTATGCCACAGCTAAGCCTGCAGTCCAGTGTTTTTTTAAAAAAACCCACTTAACATCCCTTTTGCTGTTCTCTTTCCCTCTCGCTTCTCTTTGCCATTTTTTTTTAACATGCAAGTTGCCATGAAAAATTTGTTAATGAAATATTTGCTTAGAAGTCTGCTCTGGGCTAGGCTGATAACCTATCTGTGTTTGAGTTTGGCTTCCCATATTCTAAATACTCATCTTCTCTCTGTTTAGCTTATTGATTGGTTTGGCAGGAAAAGCAGCCTTGTCATCAGTGACCAAGGTCGAACTAAACAAAAAGGGACAGGAGGGGAGGAACAAGCAGACGGGAGGAGAAAGAAAAAGTTGAACGTACAAGCTCAGTGAGGCAAGAATGGAATATCTGAGGGCTAGAACTTTGCTTAAAGAGATAGTCATGGTTCATCTGACCACAAAGCCTGTCATAGTCATGGAAGCAAAAGCATGAAAAACCTATGAGTGTGTGAGATCCTAAAAAGTAAGTCATACTTTGTGCGGAATTTGGTTTTCATTCCCATCACTATGTTCAAAGCTACAATACGGGCAAGAAAGCAAGAAACTGGATCCGTGATGGCCGATGCACAAGAGTATAATAAATATTTCCAGTGTTTATTCTCCTTGATTAATAAAATAGGATGTCTCAAGAGATGGAGACACCGAATTAACCATATTATCAACGATGGTGACATTTTATCTCCTTTGTGAAAGTGAAAAGACCTTTGAGAACAGTAGTAGCATTATCAGTGTTAGTGAAACCTGTTGTATTTTGCAACAAAGAGAAGTCTTGCATTAAAAGTCTAGTTCTGCATTAAAAACCCTTGGATTTTGTGAAGAATGCAATAGTTGTTGCACATTTAGGTATATTCTTTGGGGTAAAATATAAGGCTGTTTGGGGAAAAAAAACAAGCTTTTCCAAATTTCACACCAAAAAAGTATCAAAACACCTTTTTTTAAAAAAGCACAAACGTGATTGTAATCTTGCCCATAAGGGAGAAAAATATCTGACAATTTTAATAATCAAAGAAGTGCAGAGCTGGAAGCGGTTCTATGGATCATCAAGTCCAGCGCCTGTGAAAAAGGCTCAGTGAGAAATTGAACTCTCAACCTCTGGCTCCACATCCAAATACCTAAATCACTGCTACATCCAGCAGGTCTCATCTACAAGAACAAGCTACATGAGGACTTACATCCCTACTAATGCATACGACACATACAGTGCATGTGATGTTTCTAATTGTTACAAGTCTTTGCAGCAAGACAGAAGTACTTATAATTTTGTGCAGTTTTGCCAGTATACGATGTGTTCAAAAATTGTTGTTGGACATATGGGAACTCTAATCAATAATGGGAAAATATGTTCCCTATTTCACAGGAAAGGAGAAAAATTAAGAGGTTCTTCACTCTCTCCCATGAGAACAGGAAGCCAGATTTAGACAATATTTTTTTTTTTGGGGGGGAGGATCTTAATTGCTAGAGCAGTACAATACAGTAATGGAATCAATCTCCTCAGGAGGTGGTGAGCGCTCTGGTGCTGGAGGCATTCAAGGAAAAAAAAGGGACAACTATCTGTCAGATCTGCTGTGATTTAGATTCCTGCACCAAGCAGGGGCTTGGACTCAATGGCCTTATAGGCCCCTTCAAACTCAATTCTATTCTATATGATTGTTATGTATGAACTAAACAAACATACAAGGTTTGACCAGAGCACAGAGTGCTACCCCTGTCCTCTGAAAATGCCAGCCACAGAGACTGGTGAAACTTTAGGAAGAACACAGCCAAAGAGCCCGAAAAACCCACTTTACCTTTCTAGAAATGAGGAGGTATACCAGGCCTAAATCAGAAAAAGTGCATGTACAGAATTGTATTGGTAGTGTCAACTGGAGCAGCCCCAATGGGCTTATTTTAGTTTAGACTATCAATAGGATCATAGTCACTGAGTCTTCAACTTCTCCAAGGCAGATTTTAGGGGACATAGGTGGGATGCATGGAAGGGACACTTAATTCTACCTGTCCTGTCTATGCCACTGACAGAAAGGACACCTCTGAAGACCAACATACTGATTACATATTCTGCTAGAATTCTGGTTGTCCTTAAACAACTAATATCTCTACTGATTATCGAACAGAACTGTACAGTGGTGCCTCGCAAGACGATTGCCTCGCAGGGCGAAAAACCCGCAAGACAATTGGTTTTCGCGATCCCTATGGTGCTTTACAAGACTTTTTTTTCTATGACCATGCTTCACAAGACTTTTTTTTTTGAGACCAATGCTTTGCAAGACGAATACATTTCATTCGTCTTGAGAGGTTCCCATAGGGAACCTTGCAAGATGATTTTTTTCACAAGACAACAATTAAAATCGTCTTGCGAGGCACCACTGTAGTTTATTTATTGGCCTGCTGCAACAAATACTGTATAGGCTATGTACCAGCCTCTGCTCACCCCCCCCCGCAGCCTTTCAGATATTTCTATGACTCCTGTTATTCCTGAGCATTGGTTGTGCTACTGACGCAGGTGGGGCTTGCAGTCCAAAACGTGGGGAGAACCGTAGGTTAAGAAAGGTTGCTGTACAAAGATGAAGAATTCAGTGTGGTTACCTACCACCACAATCACCACCATTCCAATTCTACTGTATTTTTAGCCCTAAAATTCCAAGAATGGTTCTGTTCTTTATTTCGGTTGCAGCGTATTTCACTCATCCTTCCAAGGCTCTGTGTCATCCTGGCATGCCAGACTGTAAACTGTTTGCTTCGGTAAGCCTGATCTACTTTTTAGTCTTCCTGGAAATGAAATCAGTTTAAGGAATCAGGAGGCCTCTAGTGGCTTAATGGTTCAGAGGAACTCTCCCCTCTGAGGTTTATGCCAATAAAGAAGTGTAGAAATACTCATCAGGTCAGAGAATAAAAAGATCAGTATATATTGCCACATTGTGTTTGGAATCAATAGCTGTTCCGTCGTTACCAAGTTCAGTATTTATTAATCATTTCCTTGAGGCGAAGATGAGCAAGATTTTACACTGGACAATGAAAATGTCCAGAGAAGCAGGCCAGAAAAGTGATTGTCTGTGTACATAGCCAGGAAAGAATGTCAGTGTGGTAAGCTGTACATATTTGAACTAGCTGCTGAAAGAGAATTTGTTTCAGCTCCTGTTTAATCCACACTGAGAAATGCTTTTGGAGTGACCATTAAACAACATGATGGTTCACTGTCAGATTTCAACTTTTGTTCCATTGGCAAGGTTTTGCTGAAGATCTCAGTGTTTATGTTTTTTGGGGGGGAAAAGCTAAGCTTCTTTGCTAACTACATGGGAAAAAGAAAAAAAAACAGAATCTATAGGAAAATACCAATATGGGTCTTTCGAATAGAAGCATTTACTTACCCAAATCTTATCAACTTTCAGAAAACAGTGACATATAGTGAAATATTAAATCCAGAAGGAAGTCTCAAAACCGAAGAAGAACTAGCAAGGCAAGGACTGATACCATCATGGCTACCTTTATTGCTAATTTAATCAATAGATAAAAAGGACTGTAGAACACAAGGTTTCTACAAGGAACAGCCACAATTTTATAAAATATTACTCTCTACAGAAGATAAGCTAATTAAGAATATATATATAAATTCCTCTTAGAAGTGAAAATGGAATATGAACAAGTGAAAGAAACAATGATACATTGGGCTAAAAACTGGTCATACAATTCAACTGGAAAAGTGGCAAAAGTTATGGAGTGATAATTGTAAATTAACCTTAGCAACCGCATATAAAGAATATGTATACAAAATGTTTCCGATAGGTGTTGGAAATGTAAAAAACCTGAGGGACCATATTATCATGTATGGTGGACTTATGAAGAAGCATACTAAAAAATATTGAATTAAAATACACTCTTGGATAAAAAAAATAACAAAACTGAATATAGAACTCAAATCAGAGTTGTTTTTATTGGGTATTATGCCAGAGAATATTAACAAACAAGACAGCTATATTATATTACATATATTGATGGCGGCTAGAATAGTATGGGCTCAATATTGGAAAAATGAGAAATCTCCATTAGAAGAAATAATTGTACAAAAAATCTTAGATAGTGCAGAGATGGATAGACTGACAATGACAATTAAAGGGAAAGAGGATCTGGAATATTATCAAAACTGGAATAAAATGTATGAGTGACTAGAGCAAAAAAAATAAGGTATAGAGACAAATGAGACTTGATATGATATGAACAATTTGATGTGCATCCAGTGAACATGACGAATGACAATGGAAATATGTTTTTATGTGTTATTAAAAAATTAATTTTTTAAAAAAGAAAGAAAAGAAAAGCTAAGCTTCTATACTGTCACCTGCAACAGTTGCCAAAGGTAGAAAAAGTTGCCCTGCAACTCTCAAAATATCCCAACCACGATGGGGTAGGTGCCAGCTAATTTCCCCACCTTTGCATATGGAATCATTTACTCTGTTTCTAATGATAAGTCTGTGGCACCCCTCCATGCTCAACAAGGGTGTGTTTGAAAGTACTAGCAGGATAGGAAGAGCTCCAAAATTGGTAGAAGTACAACAAAATCTACGGGCGAAGTCCCCTGGCAGGGTACAAAACTGTTCATTGAGCACAGAGCATGCTCAGTGGCCATGGAAGGATTTGATCATTGGGTTTAAAACTGGGAAACAAGGAGGGAAAAGAAAATGTAGGCTTCTTAATCTCGAACAGATCATTTTGTTACAGATCCTGTTTATTTGTGATCCTGGAACTCTCTTTCCGTCTCTGATCAGTTTGCATAACATAGTAGTTTGTGCCTTGCTTGGGAACTGAGTGAGGCAATTTTATTCACATGCACTGCATGTTCCAAAAATGTTTTAGGAGAATAAGACCTAATTTGACAACAGGGGTCTGGCACTTTGACATCTAAATAGGGAAAGTGTATTTTGAAAGGATGAGACAAAGCCATTTAACTGTTAGCCTTTTCTTCCCTTTTTAAAATAGAATTGTGGACCCTGTTTTAGCTTTCATGAGCCCCCACTGAGTGTTGTCCCTTTCTCTGCAAGGTTCTGGAGATGAGTTTCATTACACATGTAGTTAAATGGTGGTGCCCCCACAGTAGAAGAAGCAAGGGCACAAACAGAACCTATGAGGGCATCTCCCTTATCCCCAAAAATCCCTAGTAAGAACTGAATATGTTCAGTGATCACAAAATGCTAACTTAGTTGTTGGCAGAAGGACCACTATGAGTGCATCAACACTACACAGTTATAGTGGTTGGACAACATTTTAAGTGTCATGAGTCTATCCTACGGAATCCTGGGATTTGTAGTTTGATGAAGTGTTGTGAATTCTAATTTAGAGGTATTGCATTCCCCTAGTGTCCCCTGTTTGTTTTCCCTCAAACACAGGTCCACCTTAAGACATGATGCACTACAGTGGGGTCTTGACTTAAGAACGGCTTGAGTTAAGAACATTTTGACTTAAGAACCGCTCTCATAGGAAAATATTGACTTGACTTACATACTTAAATTTGAGTTAAGAACTGAAAAAAAAAACACGCGGGAGGCAGGGAAAGTGCAAAATTTGAACTTTCAGTTAACTGTTGGCCAGTGAAAAGGGTGTCTGTCTGCTTCCTCGCTCCTCCCAGCGTTTAGAGAGTGGATTGGGAGACAGTCTTCAGACTGCCTGGTACTGTACTGCCTGGACTGTATTTTCCCTGCCTTCCCTGAACCTTTCGTGACCTAAGAAAAAAAAGAAACAAAATGTCCCCCTCTAGTGGTCGAAGGCAGAATAGCAGCTTCCCATTAGTTTCTATGGACGGAAAAGAGCAGATACGGATCAAATGGTTTTCAATGCATTCCTATGGGAAATGCAGATTTGACCTGAGAACTTTTTGACTTGAGAACTGCCTTCCAATACGGATTAAGTTCTCAAGTCAAGACCCCACTGTATTTTCTCCCTTTACACGCTACCAGCTGTGGATCTTTATCCACATTGTACCAAATAGGTTTCTTAGACTCGGGCTGCCAAATATAACAGGTTTACTTATTGTTAGATTGGTTAATCACAGAAGTAAAGCCATAGATGTTCATTTATTTTTCAATCATTAAACTTGGATAGGATTACACATTTGCTTGTTTGTATTCATTCACATTAACCACTGTAACAATATCTTAGGACTGTCTATCTATTTTCTATTACTTTGAACTCTTATCTATTCTCTAACACACACCAACAGGGTTTTCATATTGCTTTTCAGTCGTAAGCACTACAGCAGTCATTCTCAGCTTTTTTATGGCCACAGCCATAATCACTATATGAAAGAAATAGAGCATGCAAAACTGTCCACTGAGCATGCTCAGTGTCCATGGAAGGGTGTTGATCATTGAGTTTAAAACTGGGAAACAAGGAAGGAAAAGAAAATGGACGCTTCTCACTCCTGGAATGAAATACAGTGGTGCCCTGCATAGCGACGTTAATCCATTCCAATTAATCGTCGCTATGTGGAAACATCGCTAAACGGAACGGAAAAACCCATAGGAATGCATTAAACTTTGTTTAATGCGTTCCTATGGGGCCCAAACTCACCGTTCAGCGAGGATCCTCCATAGCGCCACCATTTTTGCACCCTCGGTAAGCGAGGAAACTGCGTGAAAATGGTTGCGGCGCCCATTTTGGGCACTGGTGGCCATTTTGGACCCACCGATCAGCTGTTTAAAAAACATCGCAATGCGATGTTTTGCCCATTAAAACATCACAATGCTATCGCAGCGGATTCGTCATTAAATGGTGCGCTCGTTATGCGAGGCACCACTGTACGGTGGTGTGTGAAGAATTATTTCCAGTCCATGGTCCACTTCAAATGCCCCATGGCCCTCCAGGGGGCCATATGTCCCCATTGAAAATGGCTACACTAGAGCAACCATTCTCAACAAGGGGGCAGGCACATTTGAAGGGGAACACAGACTGGAAACAATTCTTCACATATAAGGTTCATTATGTGACTTATATAATCCTTATTCGGTCTATATTTCTTTCATATTGTGCTTATGACTATGGCTATAAAAGGGGGGCAGTTTGAGAATGGCTGCTCTAGAGTTCTCTATCGAAAGATTTTAGGTACCTCACCAAACTTTGAGTCCCAGGACTCCATAGGAAGGACCTGTAACACTTAAAGTGGTCCCAAACTGTTATGACTCCGTAGAGTAGGTGTACCTTACATGGAAAGGTCAGCGTCTTGGGGGAGGGCTTTCTTAAAATAGGACTTTTTTTTTTTTTTTTGCTTTTAACTTTTTTGCACTACTTTTATATATGGGTTTTAATACGATATTTGTTTAATTCTATTTTAATATTGCAATAATGTATTGGTTTTTTGCTTTTCTGCTGTTTATATTTAATACTATAAGCCATGTTGAGTCCTTTTTAGGAAAAAGGCAGGGCAAAAATGTTTGAAAGAAAGAAAGAAAGAAAGAAAGAAAGAAAGAGAAAGAAAGAAAGAAAGAAAGAAAGAAAGAAAGAAAGAAAGAAAGAAAGAAAGAAAGAGAAAGGCAAGGCTGAATGCTTGAAGTTCTTACAATGAGCACTCCACAATGAAACTTTAAAAAGGTCACATTTAAATATTATAAATTTTAATAATATTTTAATAAATTTTAATACATTAGCATTTGTATATACTATATTCACACTCTCTCTCTCTCTCTCACACACACACACACACACACATGCACACACATGGAAGCTCATGCTTCCACATATAAATCGAACACAGCAAGTGATTATATGTGTGGAAGAGCAGCTGTTGCAGGATATGACATTACAAACAAAGCCTGTATACCAGTCCTTACCATGGATAACAATTGATCAAGTTCAGTTATTCAGTGTTTATTCAGTGTTGAGTCATCAAGTATACATAATATACTGAATTTACATTTCAGCATGTAGGCACTACCATTCTTTCCTGACAAACTGAGGGGTGTATGTGAATTGGCCTTTATCAGCTTAAAAGCTAAACAGCACAAATATAAAGACTGCCTGGCCAAAGAATTCTTAACAGGGATTCACAAACGTACATGCTGGAACTTTGGCCAGTTTGTGACAGGGCATCAATGTAGATGCTCTTTCTTCACCACATATGAATTTCCCTGTTCCTATTTTTGTATTCTGTTACCAAGTCAAATAAAAGTCTTTAATTCCTGGGTCTTTGATTCACCTCCACAAGCTAAGCCCTGTTGTAGGTGACTTCGCCTCCATGTGATCTACCTATTATTAGAACACATTTAAGTCTTCTGCCAGACGAAAACTCTTGTCTCTCGGTGTGTGTGTGTGTGTGTGTGTGTGTGTAATATATATAGAGATAGATATATACTGTATCCTAGCAGAAAAGTGGCACATGACTGCCTGTCCTCAAGAATAGCTGGCACAGATCCCTGCATCTCCACTGAACTCTGTTGTTCTAGATGGGAATGACATCAGCATCCTAGTCTTGCTGACACTTTCTGACTTGAAACACAAAAGGCCATTAATCTATCAGCAGCATCTATTGGGGATAAAAAGAAAAGATTAAATGGTTCAAAATCAAGATAAGGTGCTGATCTTCCATGAGCAAACTCATCAAACAAAAATGAGTTAAGTGAGGCTTTGGAACTTCCTGCAATTTTAAAAACACTCTGTTCCATTTCCCCTGACAAATATAGGGCATGCATGCTGAACCTACTGCTCTATAGATGTAGGAAGTCTGCCACATTTGTATTCCGAACCAGATAATTGCAGGTTTGATGAGACCCCTACCTGTACTTATTCCTTCCTTCTTCATTTTATTAATTTAAAACATTCACATCCTGCCCTGTGTCGCAAAATCTCAGGACAGGTTACAGAGCCATATGAGACAATTTTAAAATATAAACTAAAATAAGCACATTGACATCGTACTGAAATGATGCCAATGCCGGGGCTTCTCGAGCCTCCAAGGGGAGGGCATTTCACAGCTGGGGTGCTACAGGATGTGGAGGAAGGACTCCCTAGAAGATATTGGTGATTGGGCAGAGTTATATAGGGACATGGTGGCGCTGTGGGCTAAACCGCAGAAGCCTGTGCTGCAGGGTCAGAAGACCAGCAGTCGTAAGATTGAATCCATGCAACAGAGTGAGCTCCCATCGCTTTGTCCCAGCTCCTCGCCAACCTACCAGTTCGAAAGCATGCAAATGCGAGCAGATAAATAGGTACCACCTCGGTGGGAAGGTAAAACGGCGTTCCCTAGTCACACTGGCCACGTGGCAATGGAAACTGTCTTCGGACAAGCGCTGGCTCTACAGCTTGAAAACGGGATGAGCACCGCCCCCTGCAGTCAGACACGACTGGACTAAAAATGTCAAGGGGAACCTTTACCTTTACTATACAGTGGCGCCTCGCTTAGCGATCGCTCTGTTGAGCGACAAAATTGCTTAGCGACGGAGTTTAAGCGATGGCAAAAGCGATCGCTTAGCGATGGTCCCTATGGGGAAAATTCGCTTTGCGATGATCGCAGGGAAGCGATCATCGCAAAGCCCCCATTTTCGGCCAGCTGATCGGCGGTTCCAAAATGGCCGCCGGGTAAACAAAATGGCCACCCGCTGTGTGTCCTCGCTTTAAAGGCACTGAAAATAGCCACCCCTATGGAGGATCTTCGCTTTAAGGTTAGTTTTGAAGCCCATAGGAACGTATTAATGGCATTTTAATGCGTTTCTATGTGCTTTTTAATTCTGTTTAGCGATGAAATCGCTTAGCAATGTTTTTTCCTACACGGATTAACGTCGCTAAACGAGGCACCACTGTATAGGGAGAGCCAGTTCTTCAGATATTCAGTCTCAAGCCATTTAGAGCTTTATAGGTCAACAAAGCTAAAACAAGACCAGGAGCCAATTGTCATACTGATCATGAACTGCTAATAGCCACTTATTTATTTCATTTTATTTCATTTTATTTTTTAGAGTAAAGCTGAAAACTAAAAGAATCCTCACACCAAAATATAATCGAAACAATATTCCTGATGAATTTAAAGTCCACATAAAGAACAGTTTGCATTACTAAACTCAATAGACCATGAAGCAGAAGAACTGTGGATAGAAGAACAAGATCATCCCAAGATATATGGTAACTGTCTGAGGTGATGGACAAGATGATGCCCCAGGCAAATCCATATACAGAAGCAGTTCAGTTCTACTTCAGCATCGCCAATGGAATAGCATCCTCTACCATGACACAGAGCAGAAGATTAGGGTCATGGGTCTGATCCCCTGTTGATGCACGAAATCCATAGCTACTACATTTAAGAATTTTAGATGTTATTGTTTTAAGACTTTTAAAGATACATTTTTAAAATATTTATTTTACTGTATATTACTATGCAAGTTCTGGTTGGTAGAAAATAAGTTCACGTGATTTTGGAACTTAAGTTGGGTTGGGCCTGGTTACTAGGAGTCTTCAGGGGTCCCACCCCATTAGTGCTGCATACTACGCAGAGCAGTTTACAGCAAAATAAAATATAACCTGGCAACAACAGGGTTATAAATCAAACCAAGATACTATAACACATACTACAAGAGACTTAACATCAGCTATTGGAAAAGGTGAAACACAAGACATTAAATCAGATATTAAATTATAAATAAATAAAAATATTTGCATCATATATACTCCTTTTTTCTTTTAAAGAAAGATTTCTTGTTGAAATCAGTTGATCTGAAGATTTCAGTGACAATCAATACTTTTAAAAAGAACACTCAACTTCTCAGCTGCTGGTGCTTGTGTTATGAATTTCTACTTTTTTTTCCACAGATCGCAGGAAAACAATCCATTCAACGATGTGACATAGCATGGCCGTTTCAGAAGTTAGCAACAGTCTCTCTTTCATGTCAATTTGGCAAAAGACCACCTAGTATGTGCACCAATTAGCTGCCAGCAAGGCAACAGAATACTCGGCTTGCTGGGCTAATAATAATGGTCAGAAACGAAAATGTTTGCCTTGCCTTGCCTTCAGTGCCTCAGCTTGGCATAATGATAAGACACTGTTTTCTCTCAATTAATATCTCATTCTCCAACATTGTTTTGCCAACTCTAGGAGGTCATAAGGTGGCCTGGTGTTAGCTTGGCTGCCTTTGCCTCATGATTTTCCCCCATTTCCCCCTTGGGAAATTTGCGTCTGTCCCTGACATCTGTCCTCTGCCTTCCTTTTGTGATTGTACTGTATCATAAAATGCAGGGCAAATATGTCTCAGAAAACCTTTTCTGTCTGCACATTACCCTTCTTATACCTCAAGCAGTAGTCCCATCTCCTTCAGTGACTTCATGCTCCTTTCTGTGCTTGTAAATATGAGCCCATTCTCTGCCTTGGCTTCCTGTGCAGTCTTCTCTTCTCCCATTGCATAGGTCTCCCTTTTATTGCACTGAAGTTCAATTCTGTTGTGTGTTCTCCTCCCTGAAGTTTTATAACCCCCAGCGTAATTCCTCATTTACACAAAAAGTGAAGATTATGGCAGTGGGAACTAGACGTTTGATAATGTCTTGCCGTTGGTAGAATTCCAGATCAGACTGGTGGTCTTGAGAGGGGGAACAACATCTCAAGAATTCTCCAATCCCTCTGAGAGATCTTGCCTACTTTGTGAGGCCAAGATACCATGTGAGGTGGTGTGGTGGTGGTGCCTTCATAGAAAATTCATTTTGCACAAAACTCCTCTTCCAAAATTAGCATTTTTTCCTTCGTAAAGCTATAGACTAACAGGCATAGTAAACACAGCTGAACACAAAGTGATGGTTCACAAAGACACAAAAAACCTATTTAGTGCCACTACTTTTACTAGCCCATGCAACAAAGCTGCAGTTATTGAATTTTCCCACTATATCTATTTTATAGTCATGCACACAAAACGTGGTCTCCAAAATGAACAAGAGTTCTCCAAACAGGCAACAACAACAATAAAATCTCTTCATCTGACAGTGAGGAAATCGTTAACTGACTGCTTGCTTGATTGGCATTGTCTCATTCACCAAACAAGATTGAACCAAGTCAAATTTTACAATCCTAGACTCTTTCCTGCTCTCTTTGTTAATATTGGACTTTATAGAAGACCTGAAATGTTTTGCAGCTGCTAATCTACTGAGAAGCTTGAAGAGTACTGTAATTATCTAAAAATTTGACTTTTGCTTAGAATAGCTTTTGCTATCTATTATGCTACAGATGTGAGCTGACTCTTCAAAGCTTACCATGCACTTCCTCTTCCCACTGTGAAAGCACTCCCCACTGCTTTCCAGCCTTTTTGGGCAAGGCTGCCACCAAAAGAAAGGGGCCCAGTCCCTCCTAAATAGAGGTGGGGGTATTCGTATACAAATAGAAACATCCCCTCACAGGTGCAGATAACGAGGGTCCGTCCCCTTGGGGCCAGACTGGCCACTCACGATTCTGCCGCTGCCACGAGCTCCACAGTGCCTTCCTATCGCTCCATTGCTTGTGATGGATTAGCCACTCCTGGCAGAAGGCAAGATGACGAGCCTCTCTGCCAGGTCATCTCCTAGTGTTGCCAAGCATCACAACTTGGGTCTGGGTTTTTGAGATCCATTCTCCAGGTTTCCGGGTTATTCATGGCCTTAAATAAGATAATGATGATAGGTATTTGCCTTATCACAGATCAAAATATGTGTACATTTGGCCCAGTATTGTTTACTGTGTCTAGAAGTGGATTCCATACATGGTTTTCTCATCACCTGGTAACCTGATCATTTAAAAAGAAAAACTTGCAACAGAGACCAGAGATGGACTCTTTTCTATGTGCATTATCAAAAGCACTAATCCCTTTGCGAACATTCTTTACCTACTCATGAAGGAGGGGGAAAGGGAAGGGAATGAAGACAGAGAAAGAGATGGAGAAACGTGGAAGAAAATGTAAATAAACACATAATAAAAATAAAATAAAATGAGGAGAAGGGGAGAGATGAATACTTTGAAGCATGGTGTTTCAGCTGCTGGACCTTGACTGAGAAGGCCCTGGTCTGTGCCAAGAGCCAGCTGGACGTTCATTTATCAGCATGAAGATCCCATTAATTTGATGGGGAAAGGAGTGTCACCTAGGAAAGAACATCAAAGGCAGTCTAGTCCAACCCTTGCTAACATAGCAAAGATACTACTGCAGCAGTACAAAGCTCTGCTAGATCAATATTACCGTCTGCTTTCGGCATTTGGCATGGAGAGAGGGGGTCACAGATTGAAACAGATGGTGAGGAGCTCTCGTTTGCAGGCCTGATGCCTTTAATCATTTATCTTAAATTTCCCTCTGATTGTAGAGCAATTTCACTCTTTTAAATTTTGGAAACTTACAAGATCTATGCACGCATAGCTGTGCTGTAGACGGCTGACTTGGCCCCCAACCACACTCTATCTCCTCTTCAACAGCGCCTGATGCAAATGCAAAACCATCTCTTAAACTGTCACTGTTCTTCTGCTTTCGGTCCCATCCAAGGCTGGGGCGAATCACAGAAAGCCATAAACAAATCACTACAAAGCACCTAATTTTGCACTATTATTCCTAAGAGACAAATTTCTTGTGGGCACATCTGGTGATCACATTATTATGCCCTGAAGCATGAAGACTCATAACAATTAGAATCTTTCCCTCACGATTTGTGGACCTGCACATGCGTACCAGCCATATCTTAAAGATCCATTTCCCACACACATTACTAAAGAGGGCTGGATACGTTTGTACCTATGACAGAGATTCATGTTTTATTTTTATCGAGCCACCTTATTATTAAAATGAGACAATATGGAGTGTTGCTGACCATACTTAGGATTTTATATTGAATGAGAGAAAAAACGAAACATATATAAAATATACCTGCCCACACTGAATACATGAAAAGTCTCTATTTTTGCACCAAGGATTAACATTTGAATGTCCTCCAACCTATACTTATATAGGTTGTTGGGCACTTTTTCACAGCTACCGTTTGCTGTATTAATTTACTCTTCAATATACTATTGAGTACTAGCTTTTAAAGCAGCCTCTTTTTTTCCTTAAAGCTACATAACACAACCAGCCATATGTCCCACAAAGACAGGCAGGCCTCTGACTCTGTGTTGACGAATGGTATATGGAGGTCTTGGCACACAATTGAACCAAACCAAAATAATTGTCCTATTAACTCTTTCAAAAGGAGCATGGCTTGGAGATCCGCCTGGCTCCCTCTCTGGGTGTTTTCAGGGATAAACTTAAAACCTGGCTATTTGGGCAGAGATTACCTCCTGCCGTATCTTAATTCCTTATACTTTCGCCACCTTGGATCTATAATACATGGTTTTGGTTTTATTGTTTTTAAATTTGTAAACCTCCCAGAGCAGACCCTTGGTCTAGATGGGCGGAATAGAAATCCAATCAATGAATGAATGAATGAATGAATGAATGAATGAACGAACGAACAAACAAACAAACAAACAAACAAACAAACAAACAAACAAACAAATAAATAACAAGATTTCCTAGAAAGGCTTCTCTGTAATGAAAAGTCTTCAAAAGCTTTTTGAATGTTATGAGAGAGGAACAGCTCCACCAGAACCTGCTTCTAAAGTGCAGGGGCCACTGTGACGAAAGCCCAGCCCTTTGTAGTAGATTTCCTGGCCTCCCTCGGAGTGGCCACCCAGAGAAGCATGATCTGGTAGGGTCAGTATTTAACCTTGAGGAAAGACACCTTGATAAGTATTGTGGTCCCAAGCCATCGATGGCTTTATATGTGAGCCTCAAAACCTTGAACCTGATCTGGGAAACAACTGGTAACCAGTAGGGGCAAGCCAACAGTGAGGAGATGTCATCAAACTTGCTCACACCAGTTACCACTCTGGCCAACATATTCTGGACCTGCTACAGTCTCCGGGTCAACTTCAAGGGAAGCCTCACGTACAGGAGCATTATAGTAGTCAATCAGGGACAGTGCCTATACCAATGTCTTGAGGGCTCCCTTGTCCAGGTAAGGACAGAAGCACATGCAAATGACGTATTTGATTCCAAAATAGAAGCTCAATGCCATCCAGTCTGGGGTAATCCCATCTACCTATCTGAATTCCCCCCCCCCCCAGAAAAAATGATCTTTTTTTTCAGTCTGGGTTCAGTTTGAATCTATTAGTCCTGGCCCATTCCAAGACCGAAGTCAAACAGCATTCCAGCATCCGGACAGCATTAGCTGCAGAGGTTGAAAAGGAGAAAGGCAATTGTGTGTCATCAGTATACTGATTATATCTTATTCTATGTCTCCTGAAGACCTCCCCCAGTGGCTTAACATACTTATTAAACAGCATTGGGGGTATTGACAACCCCTGAGGTACCCCACAATTGACAGCCCAAAGGGCCGACAACTCATCCCCTAGCCGAACTCTCTAGAGTTAGGGCAGAGTAACCATCGGCATGAACTGCAGAGTGGGCTAATTAGAAGTGGTTTGAGTTGCTCCAACCCCCCCCCCCAAAAAACACACCACATGTAGCCCTAGCACTGTGCCAAAAAAGAAGCACGACAGCTCTAAGAAGTCAGAACAGTTATGGAGGCCATAAACTAAACAGAACCAAAAGCGATCCAAATAGCAAGCTATTCT